CTACACATGCCAATTAGAAACGGACAGACACTAGATGTGCTTGGAAGATTAACACTACGTACAGAAACAGCAGGTTACTAAGCTCCTCAGTAGTTTCTTGTCTTTTTTTTGTTGTTGTTAGTCTTGCTGAGTTTGCACAATGAATGTGCTATATTCTGTGGGTTGAAAATAAGCAAATACTGTATAAAGTTGGCAGATGGTCATTTTTCCATCTTGCTCTTCTAAGAGCAAGAAAAACCAAAACTTCTGATAAAACAGAGGATTTGAGTCAGAATCACTCTCTAAAGTGCAAAATTGATGGTCCACGATCTCAAATAGCTAAAACTCTTGCAGAATGGAAGGGAGAGACATGAAACAGGGAAATAAATTACAGTCAGTGCTAGTTAATTTAGGAAAAGGGAAAAATCAAGCTCAAGTAGGTAAAGTTTATCAAAATATTCAGTATGATATAGCTTTCCCCACTGTTACACACGCTTGCTAACAACTATGTTAAATTAAGGCCAAATTTAACCTGAATGCGTGTCTATTTATTAAGATCTGAGATAGGAATGGTCATACTTAGTACTGAAAGGCAGAAAATAAAATGGGCTATGAAAGGGAAAAAAGAAAGGTACTGTCTATTGTCAAGGATTCAACCAGAGATAAAACCTATATACAAGCATGTGTGTAGCTCAAATAAAATAAAAATAAAAGGACTATTTCATGTCACGACTGCTTGTTGGCTTCCTCTTCATATGCATTCCCTGTGCCATTCTGTACATAGGATGAACCAGAACCAAGGCCATACAAATGACCACAATATTTGGCATCGTCAATATGATCTTCAAAGAACATTTCTCTCCTTTTAAAAAAGGCCATTCCTGTGAGCAGTGAATCAGATCCTGCCTGATGCTGTGGTCCTATTCGTTCCAGCTCCAATTGTTCAGCAACTTCTTGTAATCCACCTTTGCGATTTTTGCAGCTCCTCATGAGGTACTTCACATCATAAATGACAGGGAAAAATAATCGAAGGATCTCAAAGAAGTCAAGTTCTTCTTCAGGCAAGTTAGAGTTGGTCAGGATTTTGATTAAATAGCCAAAGTCATAACCACTATGAAATGACAACCATTTGACCCCTTCACAGAAGACCACTCCCGAAGTCATAAGAAGTTCTGCAAAGTACTGGGGCTCAATTCCTTTCTCCTCATGTTTTTTAAACTGGATGCCAGATGTTGTTAGTAGCTCTATAGAGTCCTGGGCATACATGTCCTCCATCAAATTAAACTTAAAATTAAACTGCCAAATTGAAGTTCCTGGAGGGTATTCTCCTTGCTCATTCATAAATGTCAGTCCTAGCTGAATTATCTTTAACAAGTCTACAATACATCGCAATAGTTGGTACTGATAGTCAGCATTGCTCCTGAATTCTCCAATGGGTCTTGCAACCACACCTGGAAACTCGGTGTCCCTAACAACATAATTATACTTTCAAATAACTTGACGAATTTTCTTCATCTCTTCATCCAGGTTGCAAGCCCAAACTTCACAAATTCTTTGGCTATGATCCACAGTTGCTGCTGGCATAGTGAGGGCACAAGGGAGTCTAGATGCCAAGCATCAAAATGTTATACTTGATTGAAGATTTTTTTTCATAAAATACTTTATCCTTTATTTATGTACTTGTGTCGCTGAGCTCGCGCTCCTCCTCCTCCTCCTCGCCATAGAGACAGCACTCGGTGGCGGTGGTGGTGGCGGTGGTGGTGGCGGCAGCGGGTGCCCCATAGACACCTCTCACCCAGCAAGGGGGAAAGGGGAGCCGGAGCTGTGCTGCGCCGTGCTGCGCCGTCGCTTTTCGCACCGAGAGTTTGTTCTTTGATTTGTATTAACACCCTTTAGGAGGAAAAGAATTTTATTTACCATGCACCATTTCTTAACAGATAAATCCATATCTCAAAGTGTCCATCTTTCTCTTTCTCTCTACAGTGAGACCACTAAGAATTCCTTGGAGAGCAGCCTACGGCAACTAAAATGCCATTTCACTTGGAACTTGTTAGAGGGAGAAAATTCCTTGGATGATTTTGAGGACAAAGTGTTTCACCAGACTGAGTTTCAGAACAGTGACTTCAAAGCCACAATGTGCAACATACTGGCCTATGTAAAGCACTGCAGAGGCCAGAACGAAGCAGCCCTGGAATGCCTCCTGCAAGCTGAGGAGTTCATCCGGCAAGAGCATGCTGGCCAGGCTGAAATCAGAAGCCTGGTCACCTGGGGAAACTACGCCTGGGTGTACTATCACATGGGCCGGCTCTCCGAAGCTCAGATTTATGTGGATAAAGTGAAGCATGTCTGTGAGAAGTTTTCCAGTCCCTATAGAATTGAGAGTCCTGAGCTTGACTGTGAGGAAGGGTGGACACGGCTGAAGTGTGGAGGAAAGCGATATGAAAGGGCGAAGGTGTGTTTCAAGAAGGCTCTGGAGAAGAACCCAAAGAACCCAGAATTCACCTCTGGATTGGCCATCGCGAGCTACCGTCTGGATAACTGGCCACCATCTCAGGACCCTGTTGACCCTCTGAGGCAAGCCATCAGGCTGAATCCTGACAACCAATATATCAAAGTCCTCCTGGCTCTGAAACTTCACAAGATGAATGAAGAAGGTGAAGGAGAAAGGTTAGTTGAAGAAGCCTTAGCAAAAGCCCCAGGGGCGACAGATGTACTTCGAAGTGCTGCAAAGTTTTATCGAAGAAAAGATGACACAGACAAAGCGATTGAACTGCTTAGAAAGGCTTTAGAATACACGCCAAACAACGCCTACCTGCATTACCAAATTGGGGGCTGCTATAGGGCAAAAGTCCTCGAAATAATGAAAGTAGGAGAAAATAGAATGAAAAGAGAGGAGTTACTGGAACTAATAGGAAAAGCTGTGGCTCATTTCAAGATAGCTGATGAGACCAATGAAAATCTCTTTCGTGTCTATTCCTTTCTTGCCACCCTCCATGCTCTAGCAGATCAGAAGGAAGAAGCTGAGTATTACTACCAGAAAGAATTCAGCAAAGAGCACTCTCCTGTTGAGAAACAAGTGCTCCATCTGCGATATGGCAACTTTCAGCTGTATCAAATGAATTGTGAAGACATGGCCATCCACCATTTTCTAGAGGGTATAAAAATAAACCAGAAATCAAAGGTAACAGAAAAGATGAAAAATAAACTGCAAAAAATTGCCAAAATGAGGCTTTCCAAAAATGGAGAAGATTCTGAGGCTTTGCATATCTTGGAATTCCTTCAGGAACTGAGTGAAGATATGCAGCAAGCAGATGAAAATTCTGAGAAGGGTTTGGACTCCAGAAGACTTATCCTGTCAGCATCTTTAGCTAAGATAGAGAATGAGGACTAGAGATACGATGCCCATGGGGCTACTGCTGAAAGGGATCTGAAACTCTTCCACCAAGTTGGTATTCAAAATATTTAACAATTAATATGGCCTAAACATGGACTAACACACTGGCCATGGCACTAGGTCAGGATTAGGGGGGAACGCTGCTGTGCCAGGCATTAACGCCTGAATTGCTGGATCATGGGAACATTCAGGGAGTTCTGGGTAGGTCCAGGGGTTTGGTGATGGGGTTACTTCCCA